TTTAAAGGGCATCAGCTTCCTCAGCTCCATAGTTGTATGTAATGTACAAATACCTGCCTGGTACCAAACATAACCAGTAGTATCCAAGTGACCTTGCTATCCATTTGAGAACCTGGATGAGAAGTGAGGAGTGGAAGGGAAATCCATGTTCTGAGGGAAATATCTGTGAAGGTAAACTTTTCTAAGAACTATTAAGTTGCCAATCATTATTGAGTTGTTTCTACGATTTTCATTATGTAATGTTAGCTGTTGGCACTGTTTCCATAGGTATGAAACTACTTCAAGTCCCACCAGTCATTGTGGTTGTTGGAAACCCAGCCTTACTGGAAGTTAAGACGGAAGGCTATTATGATGTCACTGATAGTTACCATTTGAAGGTTCACATAGCTAGCAAATTTTTCCAAAAAGTAAGTTTTTTTATTTCAAAACAATCTATTAGATATAGAAAATATAAACTTAGTAACTATGAAAGTCAAACTTAAACTTTCCATTAAGGGTAAGTAAGTACACTTCACATGTGTGATATTTTATAAGGTAGAATGGAGGTTTTGATAAAGGTTAACCATATGGGTTCTTATCAAGTGTGCTGTACACCTTTAATTTCAGCACTCTGTGGGCAGGAGCAGGCAGAGATATCTGAGAATTGAGGCCAGCCTGGTCTATATAGTGTGTTCCAGACCAACCAAGGCTATATAGTAAGAGAATCTTAGAAAAATAAAAAATGAAAAGCTTGTATATTTTTACATTTTTAAACTTTTTTCTAATTTTTTCTTTTGTTTTCTCTTCATTGTTAATCAAATTTTCTCTCTTGTACTTTTCTGCTCCTCCAGTTCATTTTCATTTTCTTTTTTTCTTTCTTTTTCCTGTTCCCTACACCTTCCTTATTCCATATTTATCTTAAATGTTTTGAACCTCAAACCACATAATTTTTGTGTAAGACAAATTGCTAAACAGTCTTATTAATAATAATAAAAACCTCTGGAGCGAGATATTGGGGTAAAAACTGAGAGATCAGAAAAGCAGAAAGAAGCCAGCCATATGCCTACCACTTAGAGATCCTCGGCCAAAGAGAGCTACTTCCTGTATACCCATGCCTATATGCCTTTCTGTTCTGCATCTCACTTCTTCTCTCTGCCTAGCTACATCACTTCCTGTCTGGCTGTAAAGACCTCCAGACCTCTATGGTTAGTGCTGTGATTAAAGGTGTGTGTCACCATGCCTCGTTTTGTTCCCCAATGTGACTTTGAACTCACAGGGATCTAGATGGATCTCTGCCTCCCAAATGCTAGGATTAAAGGTGTGTGCTGCTATTGCCTGACTTCTATTTTTAATATAGTAGCTGGCTTATTCCTCTGATCCTCAGATAAGCTTTATTAGGGTGCACAATTTATTGGGGGACACAATATATTACCACATTTTTGGCCATTTTATTTTATATGGTTATTGATAGCATAGTACTTGGCTTTAATATGTTTTATTATATTCCTATATCTGATTTAGTTTGGTTGTGCTACTTATATGTCAGTTTATTTCCCTCCACCTACGTGCTGCTAGTGTTCTAATGGTCAGCTTTAACTACCAACTTGGCATAATCTACAATCACCTGGGAAAGGTGTCTCAATGAACTTGTCTAAATCACATTGGCCTATGAGCATACCTAAGAAAAATTTTGTTAATTAGGTTAACAGAGGTGGCAATACCAACCCTGGATATTAAAAAACAAAATTAACAAACTTCAAGATAAAAACACTCGTTGTTGGGGATGTGGCTCAGTTGGTAAAGTGCTTGTCTGGCATGCATGAATCCTGGGGTTACATATACGAGGTACATTATTGCATACTTATAGTCCCAGGACTTAGAAGGTGGAGGCAGGAGAAAAAAATCAACTCGTGCAAGTTGTCCTCTGATCTGTACAACACACACACACACACACACACACACACACACACACACACACACACGCACGCACGCACAAAAAATGTAGAAAAAACTAACCACAAAGCACGAGACTACCTCAGTCAGTCTGTGTCAAGGGTTTTAAATAGCTCATTTAATGTTGTTTTGCATCTACTACTTGTTGATATTTATTCTCTTCCTTTGGCTGGCTTGCTCTATGCTTAATAAACTCATTCAATCAAAACCAAAAACACAACTACCATAGATGATTCTCTGGATCATTACAAACAATGTATTGAGGTGTTCCTAGAATTCTAACCTTCATTCCTTGATGTTTCCAGGGTTCCACTTCACTATCAATGATTATGTGGGAAGCCTCCACTTCATGCTCTGTAACTACATTATTGCCCATCATGAAGAGCAGTTGCAGCTACCTCAAGACTCTACACCACATTCCTGGCAGACAAATACCACGTGAAGACTGGATTAGTGGAGTTCACAAGGACAGTCGAGGTTTCAATATGATCAAAACTCTGCCGGTAAGAAATCTAGTTGTAGCACCTTTAAGAGAACAAGTGATGTGTTTCTCCTGTGTACTCCCATGGACAGTCTGTGTTAGCATTTCTGCTCTGAGGTGCTCTAGCACTGCCATCATTTTCAAACTGGGTCATTTTGAGAACATGATGGTGAGGATCCATTTGTAAACTGAGAAAACCTTCTGAACTAACGGTGTTTCTTACTAACTCCTCTCATCACTATTAGTATCATCATACGATGATGGTATAATCATGGGCTTTTGTGATACGTGCAGCTGTTTTGACTTACAATGACGTGTCTCGAACTAATGCATCTGATTGGTTCTATTTCTCCTTGGGTTTAGATTTGTTTGGATTTTTGTTGTTGTTGTTGTTTCCTCAGATAAAACTACAAAATGTTGAGCTTGAATTTTCAATTCTGCTGTGGACAATCTCATTTCAAAATAGTAATTTTTGCTTTTGTTTTGTTAGATCTGTGAGTCTTTTAATTTTGTTTTTGTATATATGAGAGTGGCCAATATACACGTGTACAAGTGGGTGTACAGTTATGTATGTGCAGGTATGTTTGCCCATGTGGTGTGGCCAGCAGTTAACATCAGAATGTCTTCCTCAATTGTTTCTCTGCCTTATTTCTGAGGCAAGGTCTCCCACTGAGCCTAGAGATTTTCCATTTTCCCTAAACTGGCCAACAAGCTCCCAGGATAGGCCTGTCTCTGTCCTTAGCATTGGGGTTACCAGTTCATAACACCACAATTAATTTTCACCTAGGTGCTAGGATCCAAACTCAGGCCATCACACTTGAGTAGCAAACACTAACAGCTGAGACATCTGATCAGCCATTTTTGTTGTGTTTTGTTTTATTTGGGGATTCTTATGATCATTTTAAAACTAAAAAATTAGCTGATATACTACTTTTAGTTTCGTGACAGAAAAAAAATAATAAAATTTGAAGGTGTGTTCTAAGTGCATTATGGAGCCTCTTCTGTAAAATGCTTGGACACACCTGCATCAACTTTATGACAGCTGTTTTAAGTAGTTAAAGTCATTTTCACCTCATTACAGGTCAGGATTACATCATCACAAGGTAAGGTTTTTGAAACTACAGAAACTTAGGGGTACAGATAATGAAGAGGAGAAGTTTACTGTGATGTGTGGAGCTGAATGTGAAATATTTGCATGGAACAGTTGTCTAGAAAAACAAAATATTTGTGCCTTGATGAATAATAACACGTGGCCCTCTTTCTTTGCTTAAACACTTGCAGATAAACTACAGACCTCCATCCAATATGGGAATTTCTATTCCACTCACAGATAATATTTATCATGCAGACCCTAGCAAACCCAGACCAAGAAGTCTATTTCACAAGTCAAAGGTAAATAATTTGTCTCTAAATGAACTAATGCAGTGTTTGTTTTATATTTAAGAAATCACTGTGCTGACTTCATGGGTTAGCTGGTAAAGGCACTTGACATCAAGCCTGAACCTCAGTCTGACCCCCAGGAAGCCGTAGAAGGAAAAAAATGATTCCTGCTAGTTTGCTCTAAACTCTACCCACTTCATGACATATGCGCCTCACACATACACACACAGATACACGCCTGATACATACTTATTAACATATATATGTAATATGTATATATATATATATATAATTATATATATATATATATATATTGTTTACTTTCAATTTTAAAAGAGATACCCTTTATTTAGAGTGTACATGGGCACAGTTATGGGAATTTAATGAGAAAGTGCAGCCATTTTTATTACTCCAGGACTACTGCTGTCTCTTTTTCAGCTACTCCAGCTTTGACCCTTTCAGCTGCTCTCACACTACTTTCCAGCTATGTTACTTTTTGAATGTAATTGGCCCCCATAAGCTCATAGGGAGTGGCCCTATTAGGAGAAGTTTCCTTGATGGAGGAAGTGTGGTCTTGTTGGAGGAGGCTGGGTGATACACACCTTTAATCTAGACATTAAGGATGGAGGGCAAACTTTTAATGTGGGCCACACCTTCTGTTGGAAGTGTGTCATTATGGGGGTGGGATTTGAAGTCTTTTTCTCAAGCTTCACTCAGTGTGACAGTCAGTCGACTTCCTGTCCCCTGTAAGATATAGCACCATCAGCTCCAGCACCATATCTGCCTGCACGCTGCCATGTTTGCCTTCATGATGATGATGGACTGAACCTCTAAACTGTAAGCCAGCCACCTCAATGAAATGTTTTTCTTAATAAGAGTTGTTGTGGTCATGGAGTCTCCTCACAACAATAAAACACCAACTAAGACAGCAGCCAAGAAGCTCATATGGATGTTCTTGACTTCTCGGCTCACATGTAGATTTCAAAGGACATAGGTAGAGGAATACCCTTCTGTTTTTAAATGAAAGGAGGAATTAGGACCATCTCAGGTCTTTCATCCTTGTAAAAGGAATGGTGTCCAAAAGGAAAGGTCACCCTTTGTCCTGACATAGGCACATTTAAACTCCTGCTGTGTTATTAGTAGAAAGTAGGCTGGCTCTCTGGAGTTGGCAGACACCTACCTGGAGGTAAAGTGAGCATGATAGAACACAGGGAAGCATTAGGGGTCAGAGAAAAGGTGTATTATCTGGAGAACAGCTATGGTGCCTAATATGCAAACGGACATACACAAGCACTACACAAATTAGCATTTCTCTTGTGTTCTGAGAAATAAAGCTTGCCTGGTGATCAGAGGGTGGAGCTAGCCACTAGTTAACCATAGATGCCAGGCAGTAGAGGCTCTTGCCTTTAATCCCAACACTTGGGAGGCTCATGCCTGTAATCCCAGTACTATCAGGAGGTAGAGACAGGAATATAAGGTGGTTAGAGACAGGATCTTGCCCCCAATCGGTCTGAGGATTTGTAGAGGAAAGAAGTCACTAGCAGCTACTCCTTTTCTTCTCTGATTTTTCAGGTTATTACCCCAATATTTGACTCCTGGTTTTAAATTGATAAGACTAAATAGAATCACACTTTGTTCTGGTGTAAAAGATCACTCAAAAAATGGATTATTGTCTCTGTACAAAATCCATATAGAGATTTGATTTTTTTTTTCAGATGTATTAGAGTTTTTGACACTAAGCTAAAGACAAATACAGATTAGATTCTGGGGTGAGGGACTTCCCCTTCCCCTGTTCCCTTAATATTCTCTGTCCATGAACCATGCTTCGACATGAGTGCCTGAGCTTACTCTATCCTAGCCATGTTGGCCTCTTTTTCCGTTTCTCTGTTATGTTTCACCTCAGGCCTTTGCAGCTGCAGGAAAGCCTTCTAGTTTCTGTCAGATGTCACACCTCACTGTCATTTTTGACAGGTTTCCACTTTAATGCTCTGCTACAGTGAGGCCTTCCCTGACCAATCCACATAGAATGATAATGCCACCTCTACCATCCCTGGTTCCCTAATTCTTCCTATTTTCTCCATATCATGTATTACTTGTCTATACATTTTACTTATTTGCTTTATTTTTGTGCCTTCTGACCCCATAAGAAAGGAAGCTAATCAGACTGATATCTTTTTGGTGTACTTTATTTTCCTGATACTGAAGGTCAAGGCAAAGCCTTGGACATGCTCGTCAGGGTTTTGTTTGTTTTTGACCTGTTCCTACTATATCCCCAATATCCCAACACGCATCAGACAAAGGAGTGTTTAGAAATTGTTGAATGGTTTTATCATGATGGCACACACATATGTAATCTCAGCAGTTCAGGAGCCAAAGTCAGGAACATAGGGAGTTTGAGGTTAGCTGGGGTGATACAGTAAATCCGAGTCTTCTTTTAGTTACATAAATAGACACTGTTTCAAAAACAAAAACAAAAACAAAAAACAAGAGTTGAACAAACTAATAATACACATTGTATGCATGTTTTTATACACACAAAATATTCAGAGGTAAACAACTCCTTGCTGAATCTTGGATTTAAGGGCAAGAAATTCTGCTCCAAGCAGTGAGCCACTAAGACACTGAGTTGTCCAACTCCATTTTCTCCCAAAGATAAATCTGTTTTGTTACTATACCATTCCATCTATGGACATAAGACATTTTTGCTTGTATATCCTTGCATTCCTAGGGTCCCCCTCCTCCATGGTTTCCCTGTGCTAAGTAGGAAATATATCTAATTCATAATTAAGAGGGAAATTTGACCCTTTGTTTATTTTGTTTTGTATAGTTGAGGAAGGTCTTGCTGTATAGTCCAGGCTGGATCAAACTTGCTGTACAGTCCACGCTGACTTAGAACTCCTGATCAAAGTGCTGAGTTTGCTGACATGTGTCGCCACAGCTACTCCTGAAGAGGGTTTATAATGCAGGATTTGGGGGCTGTGACAGCTGTACATGTCAGCACTTCTGGTGTTATCAGGCACTGATCAGCATTCTCTAAGTTACAGTCCTGCACATGCATGACATATGGTATCTTTATGGGCTTTCACTCTAGTCAGAGAAACTCGCTATGAAATGAAAAGTTACCAAGAGGAAGTTGTGTTTTTGTGCAGTGTTTCTGAACAGAATGTCCACTTGTAACCTGATGGAATTGTTAAATTACATTATAGAAATATTGTTGCATTACGCCTTTCATAATCTCACCTCCTGGACAAGCACTGTATGCAGATCTATACTCTCAGTGCCTCTTATTTTTATCATTAATGAATTTTCTTTTCTTTTTGCAATTTTATTATTCAGATAATAAGTATTTCCTAAACACTTAATTTGGAAAAACTCCAAAGTATGAAAACAAGTCAACCTATGTTCCTCTGTCTACAGGTAACAGGCAAATTCAAGCAGTGTGATAATGTTCCCAGTCGGGAAATGTGCAACTGCACAGAACATCAAAAGTTTTCACATGCTGTTGCTTTCTCAGACTGCAAAGAAAAGGTAAAACAATTTGTAATTACCTGATGAACGAGTTTTATGTAAATGTTCATGTTTTATTGAAAGTACACATATGACTACAAATTAGACTCTGATTTTAGACAACATATAGGGTTGGGCATAAAGTTAGCAGTCAGATATCATGGTGGTTGTCACTTTACACACTAACTTAGATTAGTATTTCCTTTGTTATCTGTGTGTGGATGTGTGATGTGGTGTGCATATTTGCACATATGCTGTAGTACGTGTGTGGTATTCAGAAGACAGCCTTGGGTGTCAGTACTTACCTTCCATTTTGCTGTCACTTGTCACTGCACATGGAAGACAAGCTGTCCCTCAAGCTTCTCAGTGTTCCCGTCTGTGCTTCATCCCACCACAGCCGCACTGGAATTACAGACTATAGGTGGGTGCTGGGACTCCAAACTCAGGTCCTCCTGATTAAACAGTGAGCGTTTCACCCAGTAAGCTATCTCTCTAGCCCTGTTCTTTTGTGGTTTTGAGATAGAGTTTTGATATGAGTTTTGATATGTAACCCAGGCTGGCCTTGAATTCTTAATCATCCTGCTACAACCTCCTAAATCCAGAAAGAATAATTGAGAATTTTCTACCTACTATACATTTCTTCAAGTCTCCCCTATAATTTATTTAACTCACTGTATTTGAGTTACAGAGAAGGCAGACTGAAAATCATACTGTTCTTTTTATTTAATTAACATTTTTCATTTATTTTATATACTGACTATAATTTCTCCTCCCTCCTCTCCTCTGGTTCTCTCTCTGCCTCCCATCTATCCCCTTCCCTATCCACTCCTCCTCAGTCTCCATTCAGAAATGGGCAGGCCTCCCATGGGAGTTAACAAAGCATGGCATATCAAGCTGAGGCAGGACTAAGCTCTTCCCCCTGCATCAAGGTTGAGCAAGGTAATCCAGCATGGGGAATAGGTTCCCAAAAGCCAGCTCAAGGAACAAGGAAAGGTCCTGATCTCACCGCTAGGAGACCCACAAGCAGACCAAGCTACACAACTGTCACATACATGCAGAGGGCCCAGGTCAGTCCCATGCAGGCTCCCTAACTATTGATCCAGAATCTATGAGCTTTCAAGAGCTCAGGTCAGCTGTCATGACCTTGAACCCTTAGATCATACAATCCCTCCTCCCTTTCTTCAGCAGGACTCCTGGAGCGCAACCCAGTGCTTAGCTGTGGATCTCTGCATCTGCTTCATTCAGGTACTGGATGAATGCTCTCTGATGACAATTAGGATAGTCACCAATATGATTACAGTAGATTGTCAGTTCAGGAACCCTCTCTATTATTGCTAGGGTCTTAGCTGGGGTCATCTTTGAGGACTACTGGGAGTTTCCCTGGCTCCAAGTTCCCCCCTAACCCTGAAATGCTCCCCCATCAAGATGAATCTTTCATTACTCTCCCCCTCCATCCTGCTCCCTTACCCAGCCTAAGCAACCTGCCCCCTCAAGTTTCCATCACCCACTCCCCACACTCACCCTTTGTTTGCCCTAAGTAGGTCTTTTATTTCCCCAGGGGAATCCATGCATCCCTCTTTGGACATTCCTTGTTATCTAGCCTCTCTGGGGCTGTGGATTATAGCCTGGTTATCATTTGCTTTACATATGATATCCACTTATGAGTGAAAACATACCATGTTTGTCTCTCTGGGTCTGAGTTTTCTCACTCAGAATGATTTTTTTTTGTACTTTCATCCATTTGTCTGAAAATTTCATAGGCTCATTTTTTTTTAATTAAGAAAAATTTTCATTCATTTTACACACCAATCAAAGACTCCTTCTTCCCTCCTCCTGCCACCCCAGCCTCCGACTCCCAACCTACTCTCCAATGTGCCCCACAAGAAGGCAATGGCCTCCCATGGGGAGGCACATCCAGTAGAGGCAAGTCCAAGCCCTTCCCTCAGCCTCAAGGCTGCACAAGTTGTCCCATCATAGGTAGTGGGCTCCTTGTTATCTAGCTTCTCTGGAGTTGTGGGCAATTGTCTAGTTATCATTTGCTTTACATCTAGTATCCACTTATGAGTGAGTACATACTATGTCCTTCTAAGTCTGGGTTACCTCACTCAGGATGATATTTTCTAGTTCCATCCATTTGCCTGCAAATTTCATGATGTCATTTTTTTCTCTGCTGAGTACTACTCCATTTTGCATATGTACCACATTTTCCAAATCTGTTCTTCAGGTGAGGGACATCTAGGTTTGTTTCCAGGTTCTGGCTATAACTAATAATGCTGCTGTGAACATAGTTGAGCATATGTCCGTGTGCTATGATTGAGCATTTCTTGGGTATATGCCCAAGAGGGGTATAGCTGGGTCTTGAGGAAGATTGATTCCCAATTTTCTGAGAAACTGCCACACTGATTTCCAAAGTAGCTGTAGAAGTTTGCACTCCCAACAATAGTGGAGGAGTATTCCCCTTGCTCCACATCCTCTCCAACATAAGCTGTCTTCAGTGCTTTTGATCTTAGCCATTCTGACAGGTATAAGATGGTATCTCAGAGTTGTATGGATTTGCATCTCCCTGATGACTAAGGAACCTGAGCAATTCCTTGAATGTCTTTCAACCATTTGTATTCATCCTTTGAGAATTCTCTGTTTAGCTCTATAGCTCATTTTTAAATTGGATTGTTCAGTATTTTGATGTTTAGTTTCTTGACTTCTTTATATATTTGGAGATCAGCCCTCTGTCAGATGTGGAGTTGGTGAAAAACTTTTCCCATTCTATAGGCTGTCATTTTGTCTTATTTACTGTGTCCTTTGCCTTACAGAAGCTTCTCAGTTTCAGGAGGTCCTGTTTATTAAACATTGATCTTAGTGTCTGTGCTACTGGTGTTATATTTAGGGAATGGTCTCCTATGCATTCTAACTATTTCCTACTTTCTCTTCTATCACTCAGTGTAACTGGTTTTATATTGAGGTCTTTGATCCACCAGGACTTGAGTTTTGTGCATGGCAATAGATATGGATATATTAACAATCTTCTACATGTTGATGTCCAGTTATGCCAGCACCATTTGTTGAAGATGCTTTCTTTTTTCCATTGTACAGTTTTGGCTTCTATGACAAAAATCAGGTGTTCATAGATATGTGGGTTAATGTCATGGTCTTCAATTAGATTCCATTGGTCCATATGTTGGTTTTCAGCCAATACCAAGCTGTTTTTATTACTATACCTCTATAGTAGAGCTTGATGTCAGCAGTGGTGATGTCTCCAGAGGTACCTTTTTGTGTGTGTGCAGGATTCTTTTAGCTATCCTGGGTTTTCTGTTTTTTTCAAATGAATTTGAGTATTGTTCTTTCTAGGTGTGTGAAGAATTGTGTTGGGATTTTGATGGGAATTGCATTAAATTTGTAGATTGCTTTTGGTAAGATTGCCATTTTTACTATGTTAATCCTGCCTACCCATGAGCATGGGTGATCTTTTCATTTTCTGATATCTTCTTCAATTTCTTTCATCAGAGATTTAAAGTTTCTGTCATACAGGTCTTTCACTTGCTTAGTCAGAGCTGCCCCAAGGTATTTTATATTATTTGTGGCTGTTTTAAGGGTGATGTTTCTCTGACTTCTTTCTAAGCCCATTTATCATTTGTACATAGGAGGGCTACTGATTTTTTTTTTAGTTAATCTTGTATCCTGCCACAATACTGAAGGAGTTTATCAGCTGTAGGAGTTCCCTGGTAGAGTTTTTAGGGTCACTTATATGTATTATCATATCATCTGCAAATAGTGAAAGTTTGATTTCTTCCTTTTCAATTTGTATCCCCATGATCTCCTTTTGTTGTTATATTGCTCTAGCTAGAACTTCAAGTACTATATTGAATAAATATGGAGAGAGTGGACAGCCTTGTCTTGCTCCTGATTTATTGGAATCAGTTTGAGTTTCTCTCCATTTAATATAATGTTGGCTTTTAGCTTGCTGTAATTGCCTTTATTATGTTTAGGTATGTTTCCTTGTATCCCTGATTTCTCCAAGACCTTTATCATAAAGAGGTGTTGGATTTTGTCAATAGCCTTTTTGGCATCTAGTGAAATAATCATGTAGTTTTTTTCTTTCAGTTTGTTTATATGATGTATTACATTGACAGACTTTTGTATGTGGAACCATCCTTGCATATCTAGGATGAAGACTACCCACATCTGACAAAGGGCTGATCTCCAAAATATATAATTTTTTGATGTGTTCTTGGAGTTGGTTTGCCAATATTTTATTGAGTATTTTTACATCAGTGTTCATGAGGGATATTGGTCTATAATTCTCTTCCCTAGCTGCATGTATATTTGGCTTGGGAATTAGAGTAACTGTAGCGTCATAAAAGGAGTTAGGTAACAGTCCTGTTTCTACTGTGTGGAAGTATTTGAAGGGTATTGGTATTAACTCTTCTTTGAAAATCTAGTGAAATTCTGTGTTGAAACCATGTTGTCCAGGGCTTTTTTTTTTTTTTTTGGTTGGGAGACTTTTAATGACATTTCTATTTCTTTGGGGGTTATTGATCTATTTAAATAGTTTATCTGTTCTTGATTTTACTTTGGTATGTGGTATCTATCAAAAAATTGTCCTTTTATTTTAGATTTTCCAGTTTTGTGTTGTATAGGTGTTTGAAGTATGGCCTGATGATTCTCTGGATTTCCTCTATGTCTGTTGTTATGTCATCCTTTTCATTTCTGATTTTGTTAATTGGGATGCTCTATCTGCCTTTTGGTTGGTTTGGATAAGGGTTTGTCTATCTTGTTGTTTTTCTCAAAGAACCAACTCTTTGTTCCATTGATTCTTTGTATTATTTTCCTTGTTTCTATTTTATTGATTTCAGATCTCAATTTTATTATTTCCTGACCTCTGTTCCTCCTGGGTGACTTTGATTCTTTTTGTTCTAGAACTTTTAGGTGTGCTATTAAGTCACTAGTGTGAGATTTCTCCAACTTCTTTATGTGGGCATTTAGTGCTATGAATTTTCCTCTTAGCACTGCTTTCACAGTGTCCCATAAGTTTGGGTATGTAGTACATCCATTTTCATTGGATTCTAGGAAGTCTTTAATTTCTTTATTTCCTCCTTGACCCATTGGCAATTCAGTTGAGCATTATTCAGTTTCCATGAGATTGTAGGATTTTTGTAGTTTTTGTTGTTGAAATCTAACTTTAAACCATGGTAGTCTGAAAAATACAGGAGGTTTTCCCAATTTTTTTGTATCTGTTGAGATTTGCTTTGTGACTGAGTATGTGATCGATTTTAGAGAAGGTTCCATGGGGTGCTGAGAAGGCTCATATATTCTTTTTTTTTTTTAAGGGTGGAATGTTCTGTAGATATCAGTTAAGTCCATTTGAGTCATAACGTTTTTTTTTTTTATTTCTCTGTTAAGTTTTCGATCTGGCAGATCTGTCCAGTGGTGTGAGTGGGGTGTTGAAGTCTCCCACTATTAACGTATGGGGTTGGGTGTGTGATTTAAGCTTCAGTAATATTTCTTATACAAATGTGGGAACCCTTGTATTTGGGGCATAAATGTTCAGAATTGAACCTTCATCTTGGTGGATCTTTCCTGTGATGAATATGTAATATCCTTCTCAATCTCTTTTGATTGATTTTAGTTTGAAGTCTATTTTGTTAGATATTAGGATAGCTACACCAGCTTGCTTCTTAAGTCCATTTGATTGGACAGTCTTTCCTCAGCCTTTTTCTCTGAGTTAGTGTCTGTCTTTGAAGTTGAGGTGTGTTTCTTGTATGCAGCAGAAAAATGAGTACTGATTTCATATCCATTCTGGTATCCTGTGTGTTTTTATAGGTAAATTAAGTCCATTGATATTAAGGGTTATTAATGATCAGTGATTGTAGATGTAACCAACCGTCTTATTAAATAAGAAACACAGAACCAATGTAAAAGAGAAAGCCAAGAGGTCAGAGCTCAGAGCTAAATCTCACCCTTCCTCCTGCGGTGGTCCTAGCTCTCCGAAAGGGAGCTACTTCCTGTGTGTATGTCTTTTCATAGTCTTTTTGTTCTGCCGTCTCATTGGTTGTAAACCCACACACATGACTGCCTTGTCACCGTCTGTATGTACAGCCCTCTAGGTCTTAAAGGCGTATGTCTCCAATGCTGGCTGTATCCCTGAACACACAGAGATCTATGGGATTAAAGGTGTGTGCCACCACTGCCACGCTCTGTCTATGGCTCTAATAGCTCTGACCCCC